GGTCCCTCCATGCTCTCTCTACCTCTTGCCCCGCGCCCCTCTGGTGCTGTGCACCTGGTACTTTGGGGTCGTCCTGCAGCTGGCGCTAGTTTTGTGTCCCTGCGCCTGCCCCAGGCGCCTGCCTGCCCACACTTTGAGTGTCCTGGAGATGGCATCTGCACTGGCTTCCGAACAACAAGGCCAAGAGCAGCTGCATTTGTTTGGCCTTATTAGGCTCAGAGCTCCTGAATACTGTGTGGGCACCAAAATGGAGGAAGGGATTTTTCCTTCCATTTCCTACTCTGATGCCCTCTCTCTACACATTTGTTAAAAACCTATAAAGATGCAGATCCTGCCACCCCACCCCACACCTGTTCAATTCTGGCGCTGGAAAGGGAAGAGGCTCAGAATCAGCAGTTAGCAAGCACCAGGTGCGACTTAGGAGGGGACCCATTTGTGAACGTGTTTTCCATGCAGACCTACCTGCTGTGCCAGCCCATGCATACCCCATGCCTTCTGTGCCTTCTATATCGTGGACATTGCTGAATCAACAGTGCTGGTTAGCACCCTCGCCTGTCAGAATCTCTGGATGAGCCTGTGACTCAGGAATCCTGGGTGAGGAAGCAAAGCTGAACTGAGCCAGGCCTGTGGTGATTTTGGAAAGGTAGTCATAAGCCAGGAAAGTTTACAGGGAGGTAAAGAAGTTACCCTAGAACTGGTGAGGGCAGGCAGAGGACTGGAATCTAATTGAATTTGAAATCCTAATCATTAGATCCTGAGAAAAAAACTCAGAGGATGTGTATCTTCTACAGGATGTGTATCCTGTAGGAAAGCTGCCCCACCCCAGCTAACTCAGTGCCCTGCTCTCTGACTCCCTGAAACCTGCCCCACGTGGTGGGGTAGTGGGAAGGTGAGGTAAGGCCATTGACAAGTTTTACTCTCTAGCATGGCCTGGAAGCTCTGCCTCTTGTTCATCAGCATCGGAAGTTGTCGTTTGCAGACCCAGAGAGTTAACTATGTGTTACCTTCATTCGGTCATGTATCAAGACAAATCCTCTCCAAGAAAATAAATAACAGCTCACTCAGTGCTAAATCATGACGCTCTGAGTTTCAGTCTCCTCGGCTTCAAAATGAAGTAGGAAGACAAGGAGCCTGGGGGTGTTCAGGAGGAGGGGAAGCTGCAGGCCACCTGGATCCTGCCAAAATAGAATCTGCCTCCGGCTTCTGGAGGGCAATGTGTGCCAGCTAGTCTGGGTTTTGATTGACGGGAGAATATTTTCTTGACTGGCAAATATTTGTGTTCCCAAGTTGGCAAGGCTTCACTGTCTGGTCTCCGCAGCCTATAAAAGAGCAAAGGAAAATGCTGCTGGAAAAGTCGTCACTCAGAGAAGCAGCAGGAACAGGAGTGTGGCCAAAGCCCAGGTATCGGGGTCCCCCAGCCTCGCCATCCTTACTGGCAATGCTGCTACTTACCCCACTGGCTTGAGAACAGACGAGGTAGTGTGCACCCTACAGGTGCCCAGCGGTGGTGTCATGATGCCTCACACTTGCCCTGCAGGATTCAAAACGCCCAAAGCTCAGGAACAACCCAGTGTCCATCAACAGATGCACTGAGGGCAAGTGGCTCACCCAGGCTGTGGGGTATTTATATATATATATGTATTTTTTTCCATGAAATCCTGGCACAGCTACCTCGTGGATGAACTTCCAAAACATGCTGCTGCGTGAACGAAGCCAGACACAAAATGACACATATGGCAGACTCCATCCCGAGAAAGTGTCCAGAATCAATTGGCAAATCCACAGAAACAGAAAAATTAACAGTTGCCAGGGGAGGAAAGGAGGGAGAAAGGGAGGGAGGGAGGGAGGGAGGGAGGTGAGCACTTAATGGTACCAGTTTTCTTTGGGGGGAGTGGCAGAAATGTCCTGGAATCAGCCAGGTCTGTAATCCCAGCGACTGGAGAGGCTGAGGCTGAGGCAGAGGATCGCAAGTTCAAAGCTACCCTCAGCAATTTAGCAAGACCCTAAGCAACTTAGAAAGACCCTGTTGTGGGGCTGGGGTTGTGGTTCAGCGGTAGAGCGCGCAAGGCCCTGGGTTCCATCCTCAGTACCACTTACAAATAATAAATAAATAAATACTAAAGTTTTAAAAATTGTTTTAAAAAAGTACACTTGTTTGTTTTCCTGGGTTCCCCCCCCCTTTTTTATATATATTTTTATTTTTGGTACTAAGGATTGAACCCAGGGGTGCTTTACCAGTGACCCACATCTGCAGCCCTTTATATATTTTTTTCTTTCTTTCTTTTTTTTCTTTTTTCTTTCTTTTTTTTTTTTTTTTTTTTTTTTAGCAGGGTCTCACTAAGTTACCCAGGCTGGCCTTGGACTTGTGATCTTCCCACCAGGCTTCTACTTTCTGACTGGTAAGTCTGGGTGGGCCCAGGTACCCTGCATACTTAACCAGCTTCCAGGAGGTTTTTGCAACTGAGAACCCTGAAGTGAAGGGATTGGCTCCAATTCTGAGCCAGTCCTAGGACCAAGGCAGTGGAGTGAGAGAGTCTTCCAGAAGCCCAGCCTCACCCAGGCCTCTCTGAGTGGTGATGTTACAATAAACAGACAAGAGGAAACCCAAATGGAATGGAGCACTGGGAGCCGGAAGTAGTGGAGATGGGATGCTACTAAAGATGGGTGGCCATGATTTCCTGCTCTGCAAAACACCCACCCTAGCTAGCCAGCATGTTCCCACGGCAAGGAGCCACAGGCATCAGTGTGAACTCACATCGGCCTTAATATGGATGGGCATGGGTGCATATAAAAATATTTTCGTTCCAGGCGTGGTGGTGCACCTGTAACCCCAGCCACTCAGGAGGCTGAGGCAGGAGGATTGTGAGCTCAAAGCCAGACTCAGCAACTTAATGAGGCTCTAAGCAACTTTAGTAAGACCCTATCTCTAAATAAAATTTTAAAAAATGGGCTGAGGATGTGGCTCAGTGGTTGAGTGCCCCCTGGATTCAGTCCCGGGTACCAAATAATAATAACAATAATACTTTTTTGTGTTTTACTTTTTTTTTTTTTTGAGACAGGGTCTTGGCTGGTGGCCCAAGTGATTCTCCAACCTCTTCTCCTGAATACCAGGATCTACCAGTGCAAGCCACCATGCCTAACTTTCTTTCTTTCTTGATACTGGGAATTAAACTCAGGGCCACTTGTCCACTGAGCCACTTGCCGGCCCTAATTTTTGTAATTTATTCAGAGACAGGGTCTCACTGGTTTGCCAATCGCCTCCCTGTTGCTGAGACTGGCTTTGAACTTACTGTCTCAGCCTTCCTGTGATTACAGGCATATGCCACAGTATCCAGCCTGACTTACATTATTTTTAATTAACAATTAATAATTGTATATATGCATATATTTATAGGATTCAGTGTGTTTTTTCCTTCCGTATTGAAAGTATTTTATTTTCTTCAATATTGATGGTGCTTTGCCACTGAGTCACATCCCAGCCCTGTTTAAAAATCTTTTTATTATTTTGAGAACAAGATCTCACTAAGTTGCCCAGACCGGCCTTAAATTTGTGATCCTCCTGCTTCAGCCCTCCAAGTAGCTGGGATTATAGGCATTCGGCCATGAACAACAGGTGATATTTTGATACTTGCATGCATTGAGTAAGGGCAATTAACATATACGTTACCTCAAATACGTACTTCATTGTGATAAGACTATGTAAGACCCAGTCTCTGGGCTGAGGGTGTAGTTCAGTGATAAAAGTATATGTTTAGCATGCACAAGACCCTAGGTTTGATGCCCAGCACCCCCCAAAATACAATAAAACCCCTCTCTTTTAGGTAATTCGAATACATACTACATGCTGTAACTGCAGTCACTCTGCTGTGCCTGGCCACCAGCACTCCTCTTCACCTACCAACAGTCCCCTCCCCCAGTTGCTCCACACCCTCCACCTCTGGAAACTAGAGGCTTCTATGTGGTCAACTTGTGAGGACTCCAGATATAGGTGAGGTCATTCAGAGGCCATCCCTCTGTGCCTGGCTTATTCCATTTAGCATGATATTCATACATGTTGTTGCAAATGACAGAATTTTTCTGCTTTTTTAGGCTGAATAATATTTTACTGTATATGAATACCACATTTTAAAAATATCCATTCATCCATTGATGAACACTTGGGTTGATTCCGTGTCTTTTCTCTTCTGAATGGTGCTACAGTGAGCATGAAGTGCAGATATTTCTCCTGTACTGGTTTCATTCCCTTGGATTTGTACCCAGAAGCGGGACTGCTGTACCTAGGAATATGTCAACACACGGGTTTCAACACCTTACATGTACCGTTAGTGCGCATCTCCTTCCTGTAGCCACCAGGGGGCCACGCAGCAGCACCGCCCAGCAGATGAGCACACCCAACACCCAGATGTTGGTTTCTAACACCACCTCCAAGTCAAGCAGCCAGGGCTCCTTTGAGAAAGAAGAACTGACCAATTCTAGGGTTGTCAGGGAATACACCAAAAGAACATAGAGATCTTACAGCACCAGAGAATAAGGAAGTGCTCACCACAGACAAAAGGGAACCCCACAGTGTTGGTTCAATGCCAAAAGGACAGGAGGCACAGGTAGAACTCTGAATGGCGAAAGCTGGAACAACTCAGGCAAAACAGTATCAGTGTGTGTTGGATGATCACCCAAAGCATTAGGCGGATATTCACAAGTCCATACAGAAAGAAACCCTTGAACACTCATCTATGAGGGAGATGAGACAAGACCCCCATGCAGAATTCCAAATAATGCACCCAGGGAGCTGCTCCCTGGGGAGCTGAAGCCACTACACAGGGGGACTGTGCACAGGGACCTCCCTGCAGGGAGCAGAACTGGAGAGTCAGGAAAGAATGTACGGAGCAGGAACTTGCAAACACCACCTCAGCCAGCGGGCAAGGTCAGCAGCGTCAGTGACATTGCTGGTTCACGCCTTTGATAAGGCAGGAAGAGAGGGGCACTTTACTTCTGGCACCTTCCTCCCAAAGAACCCGTCACTTTAGTAGAATCATGAGAAAAACGTCAGGCAAATCCCAATGGAGGGACCTTCTGCCAAACACCTGACTACTGCCCCCAGAACTGCCGAGGTCATCAAAACCAGGGAGAGTGTGGGAAAGAGCCACAGCCCAGAGGAGCCTCGGGAGACAAAACAACTAAGTGTCGAGTGGGGTCCCGGGCAGATGAGGACACGAGGCAAAAACCAAGGAAGTGTGAAAGGAGCACCTGCCTCAGTTAGCAGTGCGTCGATGCTGGTGCACGGACTGTGACAAAGTGTGCTAGAGTGATACAGGGTGAGCACCAGGGGGACCGACTGAGAACGCACAAGACCCGCTGGCAACCCTTCTGGACTCTACGACTCTTCTATTATGGAAAGGTGGTTTTAAAAGCCCTCAGGTATGGCTGGGGATGTGGCTCAAGCGGTAGCGTGCTCGCCTGGCATGTGCGAGGCACTGGGTTCGATCCTCAGCACCACATACAAAGATGTTGTATCCATCGAAAACTAAAAAATAAATATTAAAAAATTCTCTCTTCTCTATCTCTCTCTCTCTCTCTTAAAAAAAAAAAGCCCTCAGGTCCTTCCAGCTACCAAAACACAGCAATAAACATCATTTCCTGGAACTGCGAGAAACGGTCCTCACTTTAGGATAGTCAGGCTGTGTGTGGGGGCACCCACCTGCATCCCAGTGACCTGGGAGGCTGAGGCAGGAGGATTGCAAGTTTGAGGACAGCCTTAGCAACCTAGCAAGACTCTCTCAAAAAAAATATAAAAGGGGGCTGGGGTTGTGGCTCAGTGATAGAGCACATTCCTAGCACATGTGAGGCCCTGGACTTGATCATCAGCACCATGTAAATAAATAAATAAAAGTCCTAAATAAATAAGGACTGGGCTGTAGCTTAGCGGTAGAGCACCTGCCTAGCAGGCATGAGGATCTGGTTTTATCCTCAGCACTGAATATAAATACAAGGACAATTGCTGCAGTATCACCTGGCTACATGGGAATTTGGAGCAAACAGCTCTTCTACACAAGCCATCAGCTTGGGTGTCTTTTAAAGCAGCAGGACTTTCCACAGTGATGAAATGTTGTGGCTATCCGCTGTGGTGGACACTAGCCACAGGTGGAAACAGCTTTACAAGGTGGCATGTACAACCCAGCACAAGGCCTCGATCTTCCAAGGGTTGATGGCTCCTGTGTCCAGCTTTTTGGCTGGCATTACTGGGACAAGAACCACTCATGAGTGTGACCCAGGCCCCTCTGGGACTGAGCGTGTTTGGGACACCCTGTGGTCCACCTGCAGAGGGTCTTAGTGTGGACTTGCTTCATCTTTGTTGAGGTCTGGAGTTTCCTAGGGAAGAGACCAGTGGACCAGCAAAGTGAGGAGTCTTCTGATGGACTGGGAGGGGGAGCCTCCCTGGCTAGCAGCCCGTCTGTGCGGTGCAGCCACCTGGCCTCACCAGGACAGGACAGGAGGAACTGGAGCCTCCCGGTGTGGGCCTGGGCACAGGAGTCTCTGACACCCCAGTCAGGATGCAGGGCAGGCCCCCCCTGCAGTCTCTGGGGAAGCTGTGAGCAGCAGGCACTGTGTCACTTAGATAAGGTCAGGGCTGGAAATATAGTCACAGCAGCAGAAAACCAATGCAGAATGGAAAACCCTCCTTTTCTTATCTCAGTGAAACAGTCAGGTGTGTGTGGAGCCAGGCCCTCGTGCTGAGCGGGGCTCCCAGCTGCACTCCCTGTCCTGTCCAGCAGCCCAGGGGCCAACAGTGCCTACAGCTCCCTGCAGGTGACCCTGCATGCCCCTGCTCCTCAGTCTGTAAGGTGGGATGGCCAGCTGGCAGCATGGGCCTATTCCAGCCAGCGGCAGCCGGAAATAGGGTGGGCCTACCCCTTCATCTGTTACCTATTTGCTGAAATTTGGTCTCACCTGGTGCCTGGCACAGCAGTGGGCAGTGCGTAGTGAAGCCGGCTCTTAGCGCTGGTGGAATTTCTTTCTCAACAGCCCAACAGGTATTGCTGTCCCTGTTGAGCCTGGTATTCTGCAAGGCAGCAGTGAAGGCAAAGACAGCAGGGCCAGATCCCAGGGGCTGCCCTCATGAGCCGCTTCCAAAAACCTGGTCTGGATCCCGAGGGCAGAAGGACCATTTAAAGCATGAGGTGGGGAGTGGGGGTGATGTGGTCCTGTGCATCTTAGATCTGAGATCTCTGGGTGGGGGGGTGTGCCGTAGCAGTAGTCACCCAGGGCAGGAGAGTGGTGGTGATGGCCCGGCTTGGGGGGAGAGTGGGCCTGTCAGAACCCAGAGCCCACTGGCTGTGCATGCCAGGCGTGGAAACTTCCAGACCCCACCAGGTGGCCAGGTATTTCCCATCCACCTGTGGCTCTGCACGGCTGGGTCTGGCAGCACGTCCGCCCTCCCACAGCCCAGCTCTGCCTGCAGCTGGCGCCTCCTGGGCCTGGCAGGGGGCGGCCATGACAGCCCACCATGCACTTTCTGGCTGGGCAGGCGATCCGGCGGGCCACGCGCTGTGAATTCGCTCTGGTGACTTTCTGCCATCTGCTGCTGTCGTTAAAAGATTACATTTCCATCTGTTTCACACTGTTCTCCCCCCAGCTCCTTCCCGGAGGAGCACGGCAGGCTTCCCGAGTTGCAAGACCAGAACATTCCTTGTCTCTTGGAGCCTGGACACAGCCCCACGCAGCAGGTCTGGTTCACCTCGATTGCCTCCTGTTCTCCACTTACTGCGGCCCCACCCCCAGCCCCACGTGCTCCGAGGGCAGCCGTACCCCAGGTTTCTGGTTGTTGATTCTCATCAGTATACAGGTTTTGGCATTAAAAATAAATGAGAAACCACCCACAGCTTTGAGCAACCCCCTCCTCCTGGATGATTCAAGGGATAAAAAGACTCAGACGCTAGGAACCGGGGAGTGGCGTTTTGGTCCCTATTAAACCCTCACTCTGGACCAGCCCCAGGGAGGCACCCACCCACCTGTGCCAACTCCTGGCCTTAATGGAGTCTCCGGTTCCTACAGGAGCCACTGAGGCCCAGTGTGGCTGTGGCAAGCTGGCCGTGGCAAGCTGGCCATCTGTGGACCTTCTCCAGCACAGCTGTGTGAACATCAGCTCATGGCTACCACTCAGAGGCTCCTCAACCCGCGGTCAGTGTGTTCTGGTCTTTGTGTGCATTCGTTCATTCAGCCCTCCGGCGGCCTGGTCATCATCCCCACTCCAAGACTGAGGAACTGAAGACCAGAGAGGCAGATGACTCGCTCAAGGCCACTCAGCTGATAAACAGAGGCAGGGACTTGTCTTGGGCTGGGAAGTAGGCCCCAAGAAAGGAGCCAAGTGGAGGGACTTTGTCCCCAAGGCTATCCCAGGAAGCACCCTGCAGGGCGGAGGGCTGGGGAGGCAGGAGTCAGGTCTCCTCACCGCTCAGGGTAATGGGCTCAGGTAAGTGAGCAGGCTTGAAGCCTGGCTGCTCAAAGTGAGGTTCTTGGACCATCGGTGTGAGCCCTGGGAGCAGGTCAGAGATGCGCAGCTGACATGGGCTGTAGCTCAGTGGTTGGGCACTTGCCTAGCATGCACCAGGCCCTAGGATCCCCCCCAGCACTGCAAACAGACAACGGAAGGAGGGAAGGAAGGGAGGGAGGGAGGGAGGCCGGCCCAAGTGCAGAGCCCACCTCGGAGCTCCTGGATCAGCGGTGCACGTGGGCCGGATCTCCACCAGGGCAGGTGACAGCTCGAGGAGCCGGGGCTTCCCTCAGCTGCCCGCCACCTCGGAGGAAGCTGGGGTACTATCCACTAGCCCCTCCACATGAGCAAGGGCTGCTCCCCATGTCAGCTGCCTGCTGCTCCGCCCAGCCTCAAGGAGCCCACCGCCCACCTGCCACTGCACCGAGGAAGCCCTGGAGAGCAGGACGGCGCTCCGGCAGAAGGCTGCTCTCCTGTGAGTGGGAGTCAGTGCAGGAGCACCGCCAGGTATGATCCCAGGTGGTCTGCTCCAGAGCGCTCCCTCTCGCCACCTGCCCCGCCTTCACACCCTCAACTGGCCCCCATGTCATTGTCCCCATTCCCCAGTGAGCAGCCGAACCCTGGGAACACTGGCAAACTGCAACAAGAGGCCAACAGGATTGGCGCGGGTGCCTTGGGCCCAGGATACCTCTCCAGGAGATAGAGGAGCCCACTCAGGGCCCCTGGAGGACAGAGAGCCAGACCTAGCCTCCTGGGCAATGCAGCCTCTGTGAACCCCGCCAGCCTGACCAGCTCCCAGCCCTCAGCCCTGTTGCCATGGCCACCACTAACAGCCGGGATGGAGCGCGTGACTAGCCTTGGCCGGGGCTGAGCGTGCCGAGGCCCTCCAGCAGTGCCACTTCAGGTGGGGGCTCCTCCCTGCCTGCGGCTCAGCCCCAGCCCTGGGACCCAGCGTCCAGGGCAGGAGAGGGAGCAGGATGGGGCCAAGGGTCAAGTGTGGCTTCCCGGGGGAGGCGGGGGGCTCCGAGCAGCCAGGAGAAGGGGAGGCCGACTTAGCCAATCCAAAGAGCAAGAAGGGCCGACTCCTGAGGCTGGTCAGAGCCTTTCCCTGGATCTGTCTCCCACTTCTGTCACCTTGGGTGACCTTGGTAAGTGATGGGAACTTGAGGTCCCTCGAGTTCTCATTCATCAAACGAGAACAACAGTAGTGTCTCCTCGTGGAGATTCTCGTCCCCAGCGCCTGCCTCTCCCTCTAATGCAGTTTCTCACCCCTTCTCCACTGGGAGACTTCGCAGCCTCCTAGCATTAGCTGGGCCAGGGGAGCATGGACAGGCCATGGCCACAGGCCGCCCCGCCACGTGGCTCAGCTTGTGCTCTGCACCCAACGTCCCCGAGGGAGCACACTTGGGTTGTCTGTGAACAAGGGGACAAGGAGGGAACTGGAACTCAGGCGCAGCCCGGCAGCACCCAGTGCTTCACAGTCTCCAGCAGGGCCACAGCCAACATGCACACCAGCGAGTGGGGACCAGAGCTTGCTGTTCCAGCCACTGACTGTCGGGGGTGCTGTTCATGATGCGCACTATCCCAGCAAAAAGGAAACTGAGGCACACTGTCACAGAGGGTTCCCAGGAGAGTTCTGTGAGTGGGGAACCATGCCCTGCACAGAGAGTGTGCCAGCCGCCCAGGCCCTGCCTGTGGCTATGCCCGAACAGCACAGCTGGTAATTTAAAAAGAGCAGGGGAGTACTGGGCTCATGCTTCTGGAGCCTGAGAAGTCAAGAGTCTTGGGCCAGAAACTGGTGAGGGCTTCGTGCCACATCCCACCACGGCGGAGGGCACCTCGTGGCAAGGCAGAGCAAGCCAGCTGGTGTCTCTTCCTCTTCTTATAAAGCCACTGATGCCATGATAAGCCACCCTCAAGACCTCATCTGATCCAAGTGACCTCCAAAGGCCCACCTCCAGATACCACGAGCGAATGGATGTGGGGGTGAATTTCCAACACACAAACTTTGGGGGACACTGTGGAACCGTGGCATGGCCACGGCATCTCCCACCCCACACGCTCTCCTTACAGAGTGCTTTGACATTGCTCCCATCAAGGGTAGTGTTGACATTCCTTTCCCTTGAACCCAGAGAGGCCGGGGCCTGCAGCAGAAGAGATGCATCGCAACCTCGGACACCAGCTTCCACCTGGTTTTCTTGAGATGCTCATGCGTGGAGCTGGGCTGCTATCTGTGAGGAAGCCCGCACTCCCCTGTCGAGGCTCTTACAGAGAGAAACCAAGAGCCCAGGACCACCTGTCAGCCATGCAGTAGGTGGACACTCCTCTAGGTGCGCCTTCTTGGAAGCCGATCTCCTAGCTAGATGACACGTCTCAGCTGGTGTCTCACAAAATAAAGGTGAGCTATCCCTTCAGACCTGCCCAAATTGCAGGTTTAAAAGCAAAACCACTGACTTTGGAGGCTATTTGCTCTGTGGCAATAACCAAAACAAGAGGAATGTGCCAAGGAAAAGCCAGGAGCTGGGCTGGCTGGAATGAAGGTGAGCGAGGTGAGTGCTGGCCTCCACTCCGTCACTGGGCGCTTTGGGAGCCTGCTAAGCAGGTGGTGCAGAGTGATACTAAGCTGGCACAGAGTGAGGGACAGAGGCAGAGGAGACATGGGGTAGGGGCGATGGGCTAGTGGCCTTGCCACAGTCCTGGTGAGCGGCAAAGGCCAGAACCAGGGCGATCGAAGCCAGACTGGAGCAGACAGGGCAGGAGGACAGGCATGGACTCAGTGGACTGCAAGTCGTGGATAACTGAAAGCAGAAGAGGCCGTCAGACAGCTAGGAGCTGGGGGCAGTGGGAGAGGTGATCCAGCGGGAGGAAGGGCAGCGGAGGGGCGGGTGGGCAGGAGGAGGGCAGGTGGCCGCCTCCCGCTATTAGCTCCCCAGTCAATGGGCTGTGCTGACTGTCCCTGTCCTTCTGTGCTGTAGCTCTCTGTTGTGTTTAAACCAATTTTAATCAAGCCACTTAAGTCACTGCTGTACTGAATGTCAGAATGCCAGTGTCCCTGCAAAACTTGTATGTTGGAAGCTAATAGGCAAAGGGAGAGTGTCAGGAGGGCCTTGGGGACAAGAAGTCCTAAGTGTCACCCTCAGGGATGGGATCAGTGTCCATACAGAAGTTGAAGGAGCTCCCTGGCCCTTCCTACCACACGAGAGCACAGGGCAAAGGCTCCATCTTTCTTTTTCTTAACATTTTTTTTTTTTTGGTTGTAGGTGGACACAATTCCTTTATTTTATTTTGATGTGGAGCTAAGGATCCAGCCCAGGGCCTCACACGTGCTAGGCGAGCGCTCACCACTGAGTCACAGCCCAGCCCCAAACCGCCATCTTTGAAGAAGAAAGCGGGCCTCGCCACACACCCCGTCTGCTGACAGCTTGTCGTAGACTTGAGCCTCCAGAGCTGTGAGCAGTGAATTGCTGATATTTACTACCCAGCAGAAGGGGTTCTGTAGCAGCACCGTGGACTGGAACAGCGCCATGGATAAAGCAGGCCACCGCTGTGACTCCATCTCTGTGAAGTGTCACAGGACAGGCAGATCCACAGAGGAGGGGTTGGGAGAGCGGTGGCCTTCCCAAGGGTCCAGCAAAACCCGTGGGCTGGTGAGAGCCACTCTCTTGACCCCCGAGGGGTTTCCACGGTGGACGCACGAGCTCAGCTGGTTGTGTTGTGTGCGGAGGTTCCACGTCCTCCCTGGTGCAGGCGAAGCCTCATTCAAAAGCTAGAAAAATAAGGCCGGAGAGCCCGGATGCAGGAGCCAGGCTGCTCTAGGGTGCCCAGGCTGTGGGAGAAAAGGAGTGGCTCCTGAGACCCAAGGAGGGTGGCGGAGGGAGACGGCGGGCGCCCACCAGGCCTCCGTTGCCACTGATAACCGTCCTGGGGGCCGCAGGTGCGCAGATGTCCGCGAGGGCTGGAGGCAGGACCAGGACTGCTGCGCTTGCTCAGCGGGCGTCCTTTCCAGGCCGTTCAGCCAGGCGTGGGGCTGGAGGCTGGGCCCTGTGTCAATGTGCAGGACACACGTCCAGGCAGCCGTCTTAACCCTGGGCCCTCCACATCCCCAAGGCCTGGCACCCAGCACTGCCCTCTGGGGGGCCAGCCTGGCACGGCTGGGAGGTTCCCAGCATGAGTGCGAGGTGGCGGATGCAGGCCGCTGCCTCAACCCTAAAAGGGGGGATGTGAGGGGTTCACAGCCCCCAGATCCTCAGGGGACCTCAGCCTAGGTCCCCAGGGTCTCCAGCTCCATCACTCCTCTGTGGGCCCTTCCCTTCTTGCCTCTTCTCAAGCAATAAAGGGAGAAATGTGCCCAGAGGTGAAGTGTGTTTGTGTGTGGCGTGTCCCCTGAGTGTCTTTGTTTACCTGGGGCTTTGGCTGCACAGAGGGTGTGCTGAGGGGCCTCCAGCCATGTGACACCAGCTTGGCCTCTGAGCGGCTGGAGGCTGAGGTCACCCGGTCACACAACTGAGTCCTAATAAAAAGACTCCAGCCCCTGAGGCTGGGGGCAGCTCTCCTGATCGGCCACACTCCTTGGTGTGTCCTGCACACTGTCAGGAGGGAGAGGGACAGCGGGAAGCTTGCTCCAGGCCTCTGCTGGCCAGACCACACCTCCAGCAGGCAGTCCCCTAGTGAAGGAGTAGACCTGAGGGGGGTCTTGGGGCCCCTAGCTGACTCCCCATGCCCCTGCGTGTGCTGGGACTCCTCCAAGTCACTCCGTGTACCTGATCCTTGCAGGCTCTGCTATGGGGACACAGCCTCTGGTGGAAGCCATAGGAAAGGACCCAGACACAGAAAGGGCCTGTGCTCTCAGTCCCCTGAGTCTACATGGTGGTGTGAACATCGAGGGCTGGAGAGCACCCGGGGCCGTCACAGCCAGATGGCTCCCCCTGCCCAGCGAGCCTCTGACGCCCCAGACCTTGATCCCTGGGCCGCTGCATCTCCACCTGGAGAACCAAGAGCCTTCACCACTGTTTCCCAGGATCTTTATTTACAATGCAAAAAAGAAACCGTGAATCACTGCGGCATCTGCTCCGCCTCTGGGGCTTGTAAGAAAGGCAGCCGCTCCACTGGAGGGGAGTTCTTGCTGCCCTCGGGGGCCAGGGCCCTGGGAGTGCGTGCTCATTTGGGAGATGGCCTTCCTCTGGCACCCTGGCAGGCGTCACCAGGGCCACAGGACAGGGTCAGGGGGAGCACGGAGGCTGTGGGCCTCTGGCCTGAGGTACATCATTCTTCCGGCTGCGCCATCTTTGTCCAGGGCAGGATTTGCGGTCCCTGCCCAGTGGCTCAGCACACCTGCAGTTCCTCCTCAGGCTTCAGGGTCCATGTCTCCGTCATCTGGGCAGGACCCCGTCTCATCCAGCCAGACTAGGAGAAAGAGAGGTCAACATCCGGACCCTCTCCCACCCCATCCAGGCCTTTCCCTGGGAGCTGCAGGCCAGGAGGCAGGGGCCCCGAGCCTGCCCTGCGCTCCCCCCACGTTTGGGCAGTGATGTCGCTGGAGGCCGAGAGGGGACCCCAAGCCCCCCCTGGCCCATCTCCATGCCTTGCCCTCTGGAGTCTGCTGAGGTCCTGGGGTTGGGGGTCTTCTTGGCACAGCCTCACTGGGGAGGGCTGGGGGAGCCCAGTGGCCCCTTGTTTTGTGGACAAGTTGAGGCCCAGCAGAGAAGGCTAATCAGGGTCCAGGAGGCTGCTGCTGGGGAGCCCCGGGTGGCTGAGAAGAGACCCCAGCAGCCTGGGAGGGCCTGGCCAGGCCCATGTCTGTTCTCCATGACGAGCACCAGGGGCGCCAGAGCTCAGCCCCCGCTTCCCACGGGCCTGGACCCACCTTGCCTTCTGCTCTCCGGCTCCCCTGGGCTCCCACTTTTCAGTCAGGAAACCGAGGCTCACGTTTGCAGCTGGTAAGGGGCAGGCAGGACTTGGGCTCCCAGGGTTCCCTGCCGGTCCCCCTTCTCCAGGGAAGAGCCAAGGACAGTCTGAGCTTGACACAGTAGATGAGAGGGGACGCCTGCCCCTGCCCTGGACTTTCCCATCTCGGAGCCACTGAGACCCAAAGGAAACCTCTGTCCGGATGTGGGCACCTGCCTGGGGCCTGGCCTAGGTCTGACAGGCCGCCCGCAGACCTGACAGAGTGTCCCAGCAGCCCTGGGAGTGCGGAAGGCAGTGGGGCCCGCTGTGCAGGGGACGGGGCCTGAAGGCCCTGATGGAGAGCTAAGCCCTGGGGCTGCAGCCGCCCACACCCTGTGACTGGACACTGGCCGGGTGCGGGAGGAGCGCGGAGAGGGACTGCTCTTCTCTGCCTGGCTGTGTGCCCTTGAGTCACGGACCTTGTCTGGACCTGTTCTCTAGATGACAGACAGGGACACTGCTGACAGCCCTGAGGGTTGGGACGAGAGCCACTTGAGGCTGGTAGGAGCCTGAACCTGGTGTCAGACCCCTGGGAAGGTCAGTGGGCTATGGCTGCTGCAGGTAGAACGTGGCTGCCCCGCGGCTCCTGACGGAAGCTGGGCCCTCAGCCTGCCATGCCAGGGGCCTGTGGTGTTGGGGGGTCCCTGGGGCTGTGGCCCTGGGTGGATGGAGGCTGTTCTGGTGGGACTCTGTTTCTTCTCTGGCTGGTTGTTAGAGAAGCAGGACGGGCCCCTGCACCAGTGCCCGTCTCACCTGAAGCACTCCCTCTCACGCACCTGCCTGCTGGGAGGACAACGGGTCCTAAATCGCTCCAGTGGCATGGACCGAGAGCAGGGGGCACCTGTCTGGCTTCTCCCTGGTGTGTGGTCCCCTCCCTGCCTGCACCCAGCTGTGTCTGGAAGGCCCAGGGTCCACCCACACCCTGGGCATGAGCTGTGACCAGGCCTCTCCTGAACAGCCCAAGGTTTGCAGCCAGGGAGACGGAGCACGGTCCTCCTGTGGGCAGGGGAAGGCGTGCCCATCAGTTTCCCTGGCTGGAGAACACGCAGCATGGCGGTCAGCCCAGTCCTCCAATCCCCTGTCCCTGGAGGCCGCAAGGCCGTCTAGATAATTACTCAGCACACGGGGTCTTGCTGGGCTGGTGTCCTGGGGAGGGGCCCTCAGTGGGGCGTCCCCAAACCTGAGCGGGTATTTTAATAAACCCCAGGGCAGGTGGGACGTGAACTGGGCACGGGGCGCAGGGAGGAGCGCGTGAGCCGCCTCCAGCCTGGCAGTGCTGGCAGGACGGCCTCACCTGTCTGCTGGGGGTCCCTTGGCAGCGTCACGCCCGTGGGCGTCGGGGGAGTGATGATGATGTTGGGCACGTCCAGGTTCTTGTCACTGAGGACCGGGGCTTCATCGTGGCTGCTGCTGGCGCTGACGCACATCTTAAAGCCTGGAAGGCAGGCACACACGTACACAGGACAGAGGCCGGCCTCAGTGGCCGCTGGAGCCCCCTCCCTTTGCCACCACTGAGAGCCAACGGCACTCAGCAAAGGGGACGTCACGGTCCCTCCTCCACAGACAGGAAAGCCAAGGCTGGGGAAGGTTGGATGAGCAGTGAGTGCCCAGGGCAGGGTGGACACGGGCAGGTGTCCAGAACGTCACTAGGAATGGCTGGAAGCAGTAGAGCCTGGATTTGAGCTGACCCCGGCCTCCACCATGCCCAGAGTCGCTTCTCCCTTGGGCATGATCCCTGCTGCGTCCTCCTTGAGGTCTGAGGAACGCAGGGCGCGGCCACCGGCCTGGGGTTGTCCCCTCGCCCAGAGACTGGTGGCACAGGTCATTTGGCTCTGCCCAGTTAAGGACCTCCAGCTGGATAAAGTCCTTGCCAGATGTCCCCTCCCCTGCCCCACCTGGGCCAGTGGCACCTGCTGGAAACCAGAGCCTCAGTCTCCGTCCCCAGGCCTCCCGATCTCTTGGCCTGACTCTGCCTCCCCAGGCCTCTGCTTCTTCCTTCCCCTCTTCCGCCCTCACTCATCCTGCAGCCTCCAGGTTCGACCTCCCCTGACCCTAACCCAGACCACCGGCTACTGACAGCATTTCCCAAAGTCCGATCCCCGGAACACGGGCTTCCTGAGACTCTCAGAAACACAATCAAATAAGTTTGGGAACCACATATCCGTCCACTCTGCCTTCCTCTTCCATGTTCACAGAGAAGTCCTGCCGCGGGCGAGGAGCAACCTCATCCATTTATTAATTTAGCAGCTTAAACAACCATCAGCAGGGCTGGGGCTGGGGCCCAGCGGTAGAGCGTTCGCCTAGCATGTGTGAGGCGCCGAGTTTGATCCTCAGCACCACATAAAGAATAAAATAAAATAAAGTAAAGGTATTGTGTCTATCTACAGCTTAAAAAAAATTAGGAATGATTCCTAACTGCTTAACCCTAGGCTTTCTGAACTTCGATGACCTTTGAGTCCATTTCCTTCTTTCTTTCTTGGTACTAGGGATTTGACTCAGGGGCACTCGACCACTGAGCCACACCCCAGGCCTATTTGTATTTTATTTAGAGACAGGGACTCACTGAGCTGCTTAGCACCTCACCACGGCTGAGGCTGGCTTTGAACTCGCCATCCTCCTGCCTCAGCCTCCCGAGCTGCTGGGATGACGGGTGTGGCCACCACGCCCGGCCTTTGAGTCCTCTCTACAGACCGTGTGCTGATGTCTGGCAGAACATGAGTCATGAGGTGTTCTGGGGAATGCTGGCCTTGGGCCAGGCAGCCTCATAGTCCAGTGTGGGCCTTCAGGATGTATCCTCATCTCCTTGTCACCTGCCACTCTTGCCAAACTTCTTGCAAGGTCCCAAACTCACAGGTCCCCTGGGCCTTTGCATAATCTGCTCCCCAGACTGGACTGGGCTTCCTCTGCCAGGGTAGTGAGCTCCTCCACACCCTTCAGAACCGAGCAGGACAGGCCCTTGCCAGGGGTGACATCTCAGCAGACCTGCCGGCTCCCCCCTTAGCCCTCCGTACTGTCACTGCCGGGAGGATACTCAAGCAACCCGGGAAAAGTTCCTGTAGCAGGCAGAGCCTACAGCCCGCAGCCCGGCCAAGCCCCTGCGCTCCAGCTCAGCCTGCAGAAGAGACAGCAGCCCAGCTGCCGGCACACATGGGCCCTCATGGGAACCAGGAACCAGAAAATCCCAGCTGAGTCCCACGGCTGTCCACGGGGCTCCGGGCAACAAGGGCCACTCCTTAGGCTGCTCACAGCTTGTCACACTGGGGACGTCTGACAGCCAGCAAGCTGGCCTGGCCCTGGGAGAAGGGGTGGCAAGTGCATGGTGGGGAGCCACAGGGACTTCCTGGACCCTCTGGTCACCTAAGGGTATTCCTCAAGGGACAGGTCACACCTAGGCCGTCAACGGATGTTCTGTTTGAACCATGAGAACACGCACATCTAGGCCACCTGGAGCCGCGCAATTTGGGCCACGTCCTCTGTCCGTCTGCAGTGTGGCCGGCTGGGCTGAAGGCCCCAGGCCCAGGGAGGACACTGGCTTTGCAGCTGGACTCTCTGTGCCCCTGGGCAATCACATCCCTCTGGGCCTTTGTTTAGTAAAGCCCTGGCCCTCGGCCCAGGAGAGGGCTGGCCTCTGCTCTCCCTCTGGGAGCTGCTCGCCAGGCCCTGGGAGCATCCTGCTGAGAGGATGGAGCCTGTCCAACAAGAGGCTCCGGGCGTGGCGGTCAGGCCAGAGCCACGCCCAGCCAGGCTGCACCAGTCTGGGTGACTTCAGCAACACACACCTGTGGCCTCAGGCAGGCCAAAGGTCAGGGTGGAGGCGTCTCCTGAGGCTGGAGAATCTCCCAGGCCCCTCTGCTGGCTTCTGGGGTCGCTGGCAGTCTGTGGCATGTGGGCTTGTCGAGGCCTCATACGGCCTTCTCCCCGGGCACCCTGGGTCCAATGTCTCTTTCTTGTAAAGACACCAGTCATCGGTATGACCTTGTCCTGACTAGTCACATCTGCCACACCCTGTTCCCCAAGGGCCTGGGTCTGAGGTGCTGGGCTAGGACTCAGACATGTGACTCCTGGGGGACACAGACACCCTTTGCACTGGCCAGCCTGCAGACACTGAGGCTCAGGCGCTCCCCAGATGGCCGCAGTGCCTGTCTGACTCACAGGGAGCAGACGGACGGCTGCAGGGCCTGCCCCTCCACTGCTTTCCCCCGGGCCCTCAGGATGCATGTGGCTGAGTGTGGCTGAGTGTGGCAGCTCCCGTGTGATCGTGTGCCCCTCCACATGTCATCAACCCCAGGCTGGCTTGGGTGCAGCTGGCAGCAGAAGCGAGGGTGGTCTGTGTGTGCCTGGGTGTCCTTGGGATCCCTAAGGCCCAGACACGCCCAGGCCTTAGCTCCATGAAGAACAAAGTCCTTAGGTTGACACAGACCTCCTGCCAGCCAGGCTCACTGCAGAACCTGCTTTTCAAGAATGAACAGGGCGGAGCCAGCTCAGCTCCCCTGGGAGACACCTGTGCTTGTCATTCAGAGAGCAGCAGCCCATCCCTGTCCCCTCCTACAATCCAGCTCCAGCCCACAGATGGGCCCCATCTGCCTCCCAGCGCCTGGCCTCCCCCAGGGCCTGGCAGCTCTCTAAGAAACCTGGTCCTGGCCTCGGCGCACAGGGAAGGCAGCCACTGCACCACAACTCAGCGTCTCCCAGGCGCACTCTTTGTAGTTTTAATAGGGCAGACCCCCATGGCCGGGGAGAGTAGGCCAGGGAACTGGAGCAGGGCCAGGGCTGCATAGGGACAGAGCCCGGTCACCTTCCCTCTCTGGGGCCTGGGTTTGCTCGCTCATTCCCAGCATGGAGGACTAAGGCCCCTCCCTGATGTCTCCCCAGGGCTGTAGAGCTCCTGGGTGCCCTCAGCTCTCTGGGAACCTATCCTGCTGGGTGCGAGCCGGAAACGAAGCAGGGAACCACTAGAGTGGGCCTGCTGGGTCCGCTGGTGTCCCTCATCAGTCCTGACTGGTGCTGGGGCCCAGGTAAAGTGTTATCAGCCCATTTCAAAGACATGGACACTGAGGGCCCGGGAGTCATCCACACAGGTTAGGAGCTGATATGGCAGAGCCAGGGTCTGTGCTAAACCCAGTGGTGACTACAAAGGCCTGTGCTCCTGCTACCGTGATCCCAAATGGCAGCGCTGACCAGCTTTCTGAAAGGACCAGAAAGTTTTGCTGACTTGGGGCCACACCACAGCCCACATCCGCCTGCGGGAGGACACAGCCTGTGGGAAGAGCAGGCACGGTCTGACCCAGAAAAACTTGACTTACCAGTGCAGGCGGCCTGGGGGTGTGGCTAAGGCCTGGGGGTGCCCGTGTGAGCTCTGCACGCCAGCAGGCCTGGGGAGTCAGCAGGCCTGGGGACGGCCATGCCCATGTCCTCATGGGCACAGAACCTTGGGAGCCCGGCTTCTTCCTGCCAGAGGCACGGCCACCCTGGGTGGAGTAGCACCTGCCTAGCATGACCTCGCTGGCCAGGGCCACCACACTGCCTGGCCCAGCCATGGACTTGCAGGACTCTGCCCGCCTCCTCCAGGGCTTCCAAACTGCTCCCTGAGGCCCAACAGAAGGAGGCCCCAAACCTTAGTCTCCAAAGTTCTAACAAAAGGCACAGGAGAAAGGCCTGTCCCTCCAGGCCCACATCTGCATCTTAACAGGGTCTGTAGCTGCAGGAGGAAGCCCACACACTTCGTCTGAAAGGGGTTGCTCAATGCCCTGGAGAGGGGAGGAGGAGAGGGGAGAGGGGAGGAAGGAGGGGGAGGATGGCAAGAAGGGAGCCAGGGAGGAGCCAGGGGAGGAGGGCCAAAGGACAGAGGCCAACTGCCCCACGGAGCTCTGGGTCCCTGAGGCAGAACTGCCCCTTGCTAACTGGGTGCCCTGCCACCCTGTGGCCTCCTTGAAACTGTTCCCCAAGGAGAGGGCAGGAGGGCAGGAGGAGCAGGGAGGCTTCCGGAGGACCGAGAGCTTCTGCAGGAAGCCTTCCCTGGAGCACCTGGGTCCCCAGGCCTGACCCCAGTGCTGTGGGGCCAGTGTGGAGCCCGGAAGGGCCTTCTGTGTGGTCTCTGGAAGATGCAGTGGGATCAGCCGGGCAGGCTGGGGCTGTGTCACGCTCTGCTCTGCCCTCTGCCCCATCGTGGCCACCCACTGGAGTGGGGAGCTTAGCAAACACAGTGCAGCCCCGCCCTGCCCTGGGGTCCCGCTCTGCGGAGGTGCCAGGAGGTGTGCACGTCTGGAAGGTTCTGGTGGCCTGAGGTGGGGTGACGTAGCAATGGGTGGCTTTACTCTCTGAGCCTGTTTCCCTGGTTTAAAAATGAAATCACCACACTAACCTGGTAGGGATGACATCCCTGTGTGGGGCAGGTGGGAGAAGTGACCCAGATGTCCTGCTGGGCAGGGCCGGGCGGGTGGGCACCGAGTGCCCCCTCCCTGCCAGGCAGCCAGCTGGCTTCCTTCCTCCCTGACTCTCTCCACCAGGCCTGCTTTCCCTCTGCTGTTGGTCCTCACACAGCCAGGGAGGAAGCCAGTGCCATTCTAGAGAGAGGAAGGACACACAGAGGCCAGGTGGCCGGGCTGGGGCCTGAAGTGTCCCCCTACCCCCTTCTGTGTCAACCCCCACTTCTCTTCCTTCCAAAGCCCTGGTTCTGGCTCAAACCCGAGACCCCAAGTCCATGTTCTGCCAGGATGCTCCATGCCACTGGGTACTGGACACCATTCCCCAGCACAAGCTCCGGGTTCCCCAGGCCACCCACAGGCTACCACTGAGCCCCAGCTGGCCCAGTGCCGGCACTGTGGCTCACAGGCTCCCTCTACTGGCCCCTTGGAGAATAGCACCTTGGCAGTGCTGGGTCCCTTCTGGTGACTCCATTCCCCATAACACACAGGGTGGACTCTAACCTGTGGGACCCACGGAGCAGAGGAAGGCCAGGGGGTACACCTGGGCTTCCTTCCCGAGCAGCCACTCCACTGTTACACACACTTTTCAGGGAGAAAATCCCAGAGCTGGCCTTGCACGCTCCAAGAGCATCGGCTGGCGTCACCTCCATGGGCTGTCCCCAGCACCCACGCATGGATCCAGCCAGTGTTGAGCAGCTGCTGGTATGCACAGAGCCCTGAACACAGGTCAGGGGCCTCGTCACCCTTCAGGTGCCCACTGGGCACTGACAAAACACTCCTGACTCAAGCATAACCCCTGGGGACGACTTTTCCTTCTTGTGCCAGAATGTGGGCTGGGGAAGGAGGGACACAGTCTATGACAACTCCCTGGCTTCCCACCTGTCGCTCGGCTGAGTCCCACAGCCCAGGTACACCCCAGCATTGAGCCTGCCCTGTTGGTGCTAAGGTGACGGGCACTTGTGTCACTCTACTGTGTGCCTCGTTCCAGGGCCTGGGGGCCCGGCTGAGAAACAGTCTCCACAGGTCTTTCTCCCAGCGCTGCCTCCCCTGCCTCCTGCTCCAGGCTCCCTCAGCAGAAATGGGACCCAAAGGTCGCAGCGTCTGCTGGGGACAAGCAGGGAGGGTCCCAGTGAGGGCAGCCCTCGTGGGAGGGGCCACGGCTGGGCTGGGAGCTCACCACCTCGTGAGCACCTGGAGGCCAGGGATGGGCTGCTGGAGAGAACTGGGGAGCAGCCAGAGAAAGGGGCTCGGAGGGGCCCGGGGTGAGAGGAAGGCACCCCGCCGTCCTGCCCCGCCAGGCTGTCCTCCGGCCTCTGGCAGAGCCCCCTTCCAGCCAGGCCTGCCAAGGTGCAGCAGCCCATCCTGTCCACCTGCAGAGGCCCTTCCAGGAAGCTGCCCAGCCCTGGGCCACAGAGGAGGGGACTCAGCCTTTGTCCTCTGAACGAAGCAGATGGTATTAGAGCAGGCACCGAGAGGTCAGGGACCCCTCCCAGGACCGTGCAGGATTTGACGCAGAGCTGCCGTCCTGGGGCAGAGGCTCGTAAGCCCCTAGAGCCTGGGTCAGTTAGGAGAGGGACACGGACACATGAGGGACTGGTCACAGCGGGGAGAGGCGGGATTGAGGGGAGATGGTGGGAGTTAGAAAGGCTTCCCAGAGGGGGCAATCCTAGGGCAGCAGGAGAGGGAGAGCGGGCACTGGGTAGCCCTGCACCTGCAGAGTCCCTGGGCAGGAGGACGGGCTGCGCAGGGCAGCACCAGCCTGTCCCTGTTGGTGGGGTGTCTGAATTTAGGGCAAGTCTTTCAGAAAGCAACCTGACATGTTGGGTGTGCCATCGTGAGCCCAGCTATTTGAAGGCGGAGGCCGGTTCCCGCCCTCCTGAGCCACTTTGTGAAACCCGGTCTCAGAATTTAAAAAGGGCTGGGGGTGTGGCTCGGTGGTGGAGGGCTTGTGCGGCCCTGGGTCAATCCCCAGCTCTGCAAAAAACAACTCAGACAAACAAACAAACAACCCGACTAATGCTGGAGAGGGATCCAGATGCATCTAATCTTTTTTTTTTTTTTTTTTAATTCCAATTACAGGGAAAGCCTGGTGTTATCATGGATGAGACTGGGGCAGCCCTGGTGGCTCTACCTTTTCAAGGCAGCTGGGCCCAGCCGAGACAGCAGCGGAGGTTTTAAATCTCTTTTTAATTAAGGAAAAAGCCTCCACTTGCGTCAGGGATGAGCTGCTGGAGAGAACTGGGGAGCAGCCAGAGAAAGGGGCTCGGAGGGGCACGGGGTGAGAGGAAGGCACCCACGCTGGGCTGTCCGGCCAGGCCGTCCTCCGGCTTCTGGCACAGCCCCCTTCAGCCCAGGTCCAGCAGCCCATCCCGTGCCACCTGCAGAGCGGCCCTTCCAGGAAGCTGCTCAGCTCCCGGCCACAGAGAATGGGGGGACAGTGCCGAGGGCCGGGCACAGAAGGCTCAGGACCAGCCCTGGAAGCAGTCCTCCTCAGCAGTGACGCCTCCTCCCCCCCGGCCAGGAACAGGCCTTCCTCTGAAGACAGCCCTGAGCGCTGAGTCAAAGAGCGGCCAGGTGCGATGGCACACACCTGTCCAGTGACTCGGGAGGCTGAGGCAGGAGGGCTGCAAGTTCAGCCCGGGGCACACACACACACAAAAAAGAGCAAGGTCAAAGCTGAGGTGTGGCTCTGCTAAAGCACAGCAGGAAGCCCTGCACCCAGGGGCAAACAGCAAGAGACTGGGCACGGTGGCTGCCCGGTGATCCTGGAGACCCCAGAGGCTGGGGCAGGAGGATCCCAAATTTGAGACCATCTAAGCATCTTAGTTAGACCATGTCTCAAAATAAAAATTCAAAATGGCTGGGGATATAGCTCAGCTCAGCAGTAGTAAGCCCTGGGCTCCATCTCCCCTGCTGTGTCGGAGGGGGGGGAGGGGGAGGAGGAAAAGACACAAAGTACCTGGCTGCCCAACAGGCTGCTGACCTGGCTACCTCACCCTGCTAGGCCCTGGGCAGAGCCTTGTTGGGGGGGCTCTCCTGTGACTGTAGTGCTCAGCAGAATCCCCAGTCTGGGTGCTGTTTCACCCCCAGCTGTGACAACCAAAATGTCTCCCAGACACTGCCAAGTGTCCCCTGGGGGTAGGATTTCCAAATAAAGTCTAGGTGCCCATGGGTCATTGTTACTGTGCATGTGCTGTGCAGTATTGGGGACATACTTGAACTGGACGGCCATTCCTTGTTTATCTCCACAGGGGAACTGGGAATCGTGGCTCATGGTTTTCCCCTTGAGATCGGGTGGCATTTCATGGGGGTGGGGCTGGACACGGCTGAGAGTGACAGTTAGTTGTCATCAGCTGTGGCAGGGCCAGGCACCACCCCTGGCCTGGAGCAGGCATCGGAGAGCTGGCCCCACTGCAGACCAGTAAGTGGCGCTGGGGCAGGGCCTGCACCAGAGGCCCCCCACCTCAGGCTGCCCCCCAAGCCTGTGCACTTCTTCCCCTCTCTGAGCTGACCATCAGGGCTGATCGTCTGTCCACACTATCAGCCCCGAAGGACTACACATTGCCCTTGGCCCAGTCACCCTCACCCTGCGGGGCCTTCAGAAGGACACGCAGTTCCTGGGCACCTGCCAGGGGCAGAGCGCGGGGCATTGTGCTGTGGCGGTGGCGGGCATCGGTGCCTGTCTGTGTGCAGGACTTGGAGAGGAAATCCGTGCTTCCTGCTGGACAGAAACACTCCTCGTCCCCCAGGATGCTGTGTACACCTGTCAGATTGGCACAGATGAATGAAGCTGCTACCGCTGTTGGTGCCGTGACCTTCACGTGGTGGGCAAAGTAGGGGCACGGGTCTGCCCTCAGGGGATCACCTGGCAAAACCTGAAGACAGCAGGGGCAGGCCCCCACCATCTGGAACATTCTGCTGCTGGCTGCCTCCCGAGTGCATGGCGGCCCAGTACACTCACTGAAGTCCTGCTTGTGGAGGGCAAGCTGGGGGCTGGCTCACAGGGCGGCCCCTCCAGTGTGGACTTCCAGCTACAGAAGGGGCAGCAGCTCTCAGCGGGGCCCCTTGCCTGTGTGTTGTCCAGGGGAAGGACCCAGGTAGGGTGCTCCCAGCCAGACCCATGTCTATGCAGCCTGGTGGAGCCAGGCCTTGCTGGCCACGAGGCCCTGGGAGGGAAACGGCAACCCCACAGGCTGGGGGTCCGGTCCTGTCAGCCCCCAGCCCTGTAGCTGAGAACCGGTCAGTGTGGCCATTAACTCTGGGTCCCTGGAGGCCGAGACAGAAGACCTCACTGGAGGCCCAGCAGCAGCCTCCCTGGCCACCGGACTCTGGAGGCTCACCCTCCCCTTCAGCCACCCTACAAACGCTTTCCGAGCACCTGGATCAGGCCAGGCCCAGGAGACTGAGCCCCAGGGACGGCAGAGCAGCTGCCCTGATGGCAGGCAGGAGTTTGGGGAGGAGACCCATGCCTTGCTGAGGTGGACAGGTCACTTGTTTCACATCTTGTATCCCTACTGTGTGCTGGGGCTACAGGATGGACAGGCAGCAGGATTCGTAAGCCGGGGGAACAGGTGTGCAAGGAGGACCTGGACACCAGTGGGAAGTGCCCTCTGGGTAGTGACCACCAGCGCTGGACAGGAGTCAGTCAGCAGATTACCAGGACACGGAGGGAGAGTGGCTGTCACCTGCTACAGGACTGGCCAGACCCCTCCTTCCCCAGCACAGCAGGTGCTCGAGGTTTAGCTTAAGCTAAATCCTGCTGTGAGCCGGAGGGCTCCGCCTGGGCTGGGCCAGCTGAAGACTGGGCGCTCCTGCCCTCCCCGGCCTCCCAGGAGCTCCCAGGGTGCCGCCCTCCCTGGGGCCTCTCCCTCCTGGACTCAGCCACAGCTAGTGCCCAGGGGGCCATCTCTTCACCTGTGGGCTTGGCCCTGGGACCTGAGCCAGGGCGGAGCCTATAGGGACACAGTAGGTGTGTGTGGAAGGAACAGGCCTCCACAGCTCCTGACCGCAGCTGTCCGCCCCGGAACCAGGTGTTCACGCTCTCATGCGGCTGACCTTGGGTGAGCTGGGGCCAGTCTTGAACCTGTGAAGGCCAATCAGAAGGATGGCCATCCCCACAACCAGCCACTGGCCAAGGGTCTCAGGCTGAGTGAAGAGGCTTTGAGTCCCATGGGAAAGGCAGTTAGGCAGGTCCCAGCTCCCCCGGCCCGACCCAGGCAGTACCCTGCCCTCCCTGAGCCCTCGCTTGGCAAGAAAGACCTGCAAACCCCAGCCTCAGCCAGGCCTGATCCAGAGCAGCCCACAAAACCCTACCGGTCAAGGTCCCCCACAGCGGTCAAGGTCCCGAGAGCAAGGACAGTCTGGGAAACTGTCACAGCCCAGGGGAGCCCGAGAGACCTGTCCTACTCCACGTGGGAGGGACCCTGACGAGGTCTGGGACAGGGAACCTGAACACAAGGTGGCCTCGGTAGACCCCTACCCAGTGCCAGTGCATGACCCCAGGGCGGGAAATGGGGCGGGACCCACGGCACCTCCGACTCTCAAGTTTTTAAGAGTTAAAACTGTTCCCAAAGCAAAGCCTGCTCTAAAAACACCTTAACAAACCCAGTAACAACCCCACCCGCGACCGTCTCCATCTCCACGACTCGGCTGGCCCAGACATCCGGAGGACTGGCCCGTCTGCCTAGCTCAGGGGACGCCCACGCTGCACTTCCAGGGCCACTGAGAACCCTTGGTATGCCACCCTCTGTGCCCAGGGGAGCAGCAGGAAGACCGCATGCCTCGCCCCCCAGCTGCTGGGCCAAGTCCCTCCCAACCCACTGTGTGGCCTGGAGCTAGCGGGTGCTGCCCTGTGCCTCAGTCTCCCTGAATGTGAAGTCGCTGTTGGTGCCCTGCTGCGTAAGGACGAGTTGTGCCTGGCTCCCAGGGACACGTGAGTGTAAGCCCTTAGAGGAGGGGCACCAGGGAGTGCTCTGGCCACAGCTGGGCCCTGGGGGAAGGACCCCACAGAACACAGTGCTGGGCCCACTGTCCTCGAGGGAAGCAAACGGGTCTCAGCATAGCCGGAGCCCCCTCGGATGTCACCCTCCATGTCCCCTTCTCAGACTGGCAGATGGAGGACTTGCTCCTGTCCCACACACCAGAGGGCTTAGAGGGGACGTGATTTGTAGTGGGTTGAACAGTGTCCTCCAAAATCCACACCAACCTAGGACCTCAGAATGTGGCCTTATATGGGAATGAGGGCTTTTTGCAGATGTAATTAGTTAA